AAAATTCAAAGAATTTCGAAGCACTGAGGTGCATTGCCATAAGGAATATCATTCACCAAGTTATCGCTGTGATATAATTGGCTGAGTCGCCAGTGGAGCACAATCGCCGGCATAAACATTCGACCTCTCTGGGTTGGTTTGGCCGTTATTCAGCGATTCTAGTATAGGGAAATATGCTTCGTTTTAGCATATACATGAATATTTTTAAAATTATTGTAAATTCCCGAAGCAAGTCAAGAGGCATTTATACGTTTCCGTTTCTTCTTTTCACGTCGTAGCCCGTACCGCATCTAAGCGCAGGGGCACCAATATTTTTTGCACGTTTTGCGGAAGTAAAGTTATTACTAAGTTGCACTGAACAAACTGTTATATATGAATGACTACTGAACACTTTGATGGTAAAGAGCTTTCACTGGCAATTGTATCCCTGACTAAAATATTCTCACCCACTGCCCCGCCATCACAAGCATTATTTCGCAGCACAGTTCAGTATCATGACTACGAGCACAAAATAAAATGTTGTGAGTTTGTCGATGTAACGCCATCTCACAATGGCATTAGAAGAAATTTAGTCATTATTAAACAGGTATCGCCTGTTTGCTGCCTCCTTCTAGACCACCAGATGGAGTATAATTTTTAGCGAGATAATGCATGTACCGGTATCCAATAAGATTTATACAGTTTGAAAAAGTCATGAAAGACTAATTACATATTATTATTCAAAAACATGAATAACACCCGCATTTTTAAGTGAATAATGAGAATAGATAAAGACGGGCGATGAGGGTTTAAATTTTCATGAGGAGAGAAAACTCGGGTGTAAAATAATTGAGTACCAATTGCCGGTTTAAATTTCCTGTGTTGAGTTTCCTGAAATTCACATGATACATAAATATATTTCTGATGTGACTTTAGAGCATGGGAATATACTATAATAATCAATATGTAGCTGATCAATATTACTGCTACCAATAATCAAACGATCGAAACGCTGGAGAAATATGACGATTTCAGTCCAGTGCTTCTTCATGACCGGAAGATATAAATATCGCTTATAACAAAAATTTCTTTCCTTTTGGGAATCGCTTATAACAAATGAATCATCGCACACCTGATAAGAAGGAGTGCGCCGCCGTCATCCAAAATTTTTACTCTGACTGTATAGGCCTTGTCGCAAACTCTTTGTATAAATATTCACAGCTAATATCAGCTTCAGAGCTACAATGTTGCAGACCACGCTAGGAACATCGCAAGCCACACCAGTTCCGCGACAGCTTGTTGCGGTCTCGAAGCACGAAACTCTGTTCGAATTTTGCTGCGCTTCACTGCCCGGCCTATAAGCTTCTCGCCGATTTGATCAAACTCTCTATATATACTGTATTAAGCATTATGTGGGACAATTGATTTAAGTTCTGCGCGAACGGGAGCGTCACAAATGAATGGACCAAAAGAAACGGAAAAAGTACCCAGACTACAGTCAAGAGAATTTGCCAAGAGTTTCATGTCTAATAGGAAAGCTTGAAGAAATTCTTCACAGGATGGCATCCCCTTGTGATTGCTCCTATTTGAGCAATAAATGCCCACAGTTATGACATGAGCAGGAAATTCCAGAGGACATATTAGAATAGGATAGCATGTATATTTGGTTGTATTTTTGTACAAAGGAATGCCGTCAATATTTACAGAGAGGCTGACATGTTTCACACAGCCTTCACAATACTCTCTTTCAATGATAGATTTCAAACTGGGCACCCAATCAAAGTGCACATATTCACCACATGTCATTGAAACTACATGTGGAACTGGTGCCACAATATTTTGAAATTTGGATTTGAGAGTCTTAGATATAGTTGGTAAAGAAGGAAAACGTGGATTCAACATTTTCAATAATCTTGTGATGGCATCATTAGGTACCGTTTTTTCCAGTACCGCCCACTTGCATAGTATAATACCTAAATCATTTGCACATTCACAGGGATTAACATTATGAACAGTTTTGCTTGAACTACTTAAATGTTCACATAAATTACTTGATATATTTATGCTCAGATCTTCTGGGTGTTCTAAACTTGGGGAACTTAATGGAGAAGACTCTAGTGATGTGTTACTCGATTCAGCATTACTCGAATTTGGTGAAGCAGCCGGGGTAGTGACAGGTGAAATACATGTAGATACACACTTTCCTATTTCCTCAATTTCTGGGTGTTTTCTGGGGTGACTGTCCAATTCTTGATTCATTAAACACCTGGAAACTATTCGTTGTTGCTGCCTAACTGACAAGTCAGCAAAAGGCTTTCTTGACGACATCTCGAAGAATTAATATCAGTAAGGGTGCTGGTAGTAACGGTGCTGGTAGCAACGGTGCTGGTAGTAACTGCAGGTAGTAACGGTGCCGGTAGTATAACGGTGCTGGTAGCAACGGTGCTGGTAGTAACTGCAGGTAGTAACGGTGCCGGTAGTATAACGGTGCTGGTAGTAAAGGTGCTGATAGTAACGGTGCTGGTAGTAACGGTGCTGGTAGAAACGGTGCTGGTAGTAACGGTGTGATTAGTATAGCAATTCATAGTATCTCAAAATTGTTAATATATGTAGATTGTAGAACCGTTGAAGACTGATTGAAGCCGACGGTTTAAAATTCAAAACAAAGCGGGTGTAGGACGCCTCACGTACGCGGGTAGCGAACGGGGCTATAAAAGAAGTGAGGTAGGAGAAGAGGCAGCTCAGTGCGAGTCGGACAGCGTGCCGAGAGGACATCGTGTTGTGTGCGGAAATTAGATCACCAGAGTCGAGCGCGGAGGATCTTGCCGCACGTCGTTTGTAGCACGTATTCAGGGAACAGTGAATGTTTAGAAACAATTGTGGTGTTCGTTATTTTCTTGAGTCACGACGTCCCTTCAGACAACTTCAGCCGACCGCGTTGTATATCACCGAGAAGAAGACAACCGACGACAAAAATATTGCAACCGATCTGTCGAAATAGTGGAACCACCCTGAGATCTCACGACTTACCATCGAATAAAAGGAACTACGACTTAACTACCGCTTCAAGCAAGTTATCTTGAAGCCGACCTACAACTACAGAGAAGCACCACCTGATCTGCGAGAGATTACTACCCGACCTACGAAGAAATTACTCAGAGTAACCAGTGTCCTCGGCGAAGAGAACGACCACGATCGGGCCACCAGCACCTATACTATGGAATAGAAACTCCGCCGGTCGGCCTCGAGGAACACTGGAACGACCAGGGGCACGTCGGAACTTCACCACCAATTTTATCCAGGACACTATCGCCTCCACAGACCTCGGGTGATGTACATCTGTGAAAAATTGAAATAGTATTCTCATGGTAGCTACCTTTAGTTGTTTCCCGCGGTGTTCGCCTCGAGTAATCGTACTGTGCCTGTTAGGAGATAGTATCTAGCTCGAACGCCCAGTCCTGTACTAGAGTAGGATTTTTCTGCCTTTAAGTATATAAGTGTTGACATGCTTATTTGTATCTTTTCCCTTGTCAATTCGTAGCCTAGCTGCCAGCGTGAGAACCTTTTCAACGCGCCGACCCTCGTGCTAGAAACCTGACAGTATTTTAAAATGTTTATTAAAAAAAACTCTATCGAGAGTTCCATACGATTGATGAGATCAATACAGGTGTCGAGATAACTGGTTGTCTTGAAATAACTATAAATACTGTCGACACAACCCCTTATATCGATAAGTATAGTTTCGGTTGAAATCACTACATCAAGACTAAAAGAAAAGTTAGAAATAAAGTAGAAGTAGGACGCATTCTCTAATCAGGTGCTGGTAGTAACGGTGCTGGTAGTAACGGTGCTGGTAGTAACGGTGCTGGTAGTAACGGTGCTGGTAGAAACGGTGCTGGTAGTGACGGTGCTGGTAGAAACAGTGTTGGTAGAAACGGTGCTGGTAGTAACAGTGCTGGTAGTAACGGTGCTGTAGTAACGATGCTGGCAACAGTTTCCCGAAGCAAGCAACAGTCATCTTTGGGGAACAAGCCAGCAACAGTTTCTCAAGGGGCAGCCTTTCGATAACCCCGGCCATTCCAAACCCTAAACAATCTCGCTCTCACGGTTTTGCTCTCAACCAACTCCAAACTCACACTCGCTCATTGTCCCAGAATCTGTGACACACTTGGGACCAAATTGGGACAAATCTGGGAAAAACTTGGGACAAATCCGGGACAAATTTGGGACGAACTTGGAACAAATTAGGGACAAACTCAGAACAAATCTGGGCCGGCTTGAAACAACCCTGGGTCCAACTTGGGACTAATCTGAGACACATTTAGGACAAATGTGGTACAAACTTGGAACTAATCTTAGACAAACTTGGGACAAATCTGGGAAAAACTTGGGACAAGTCTGGGACAAACTTGGGACAAATCTGGGACACACTTGGAACTAATCTGGGACAAACTTGGGACAAATTTGGAAAAACTTGGGTCAAATCTGGGACAAATTTGGGGCAAATCTGGGATACATTTGGAAAAAATCTGAGACAAACTTGGGACCAAATTGGGACAAATCTGGGACAAACTTGGGTCAAATCTAACAAACTTGGGACAAATCAGGGACAAATCTGAGACATCACACAATCATGAATTAATTTTTTCATAATAAATTAGAGTGTACATTAACATCAGATTTATTAGTTTAATAGGATGAACATCCAACCGACAAGTTTGCATATGATTTTTTTTTCGGTTTGCTCCGTTGAGTTGCCTACTCTCATTTACTTCGATCTATAGAGATAAGCCCACAGTTGATAATTCGCCGAGCATCTGTAAAGATTATTCAGGGCGTATCTGCTCTCAATTCTTAGAATGGTGGATTCTTCCGCGTTCTGCAAAAACTCACACTAATCGACATCGTTGCCCACATTGGCGTTTGACTGTGTTATAGCAGTTACAGTTCTGAGTACCAGGATTGGAACATGAGATGCGGGTTTGATCGCTGCTTTCTGCGATATACACTGTTGCTCAGGTTCATTGAAGGAGCTATCAAAATTTATGGATCAGGCTTCCTCAGCTACAATGTTCATTCTCTTCAGCATCTGGTTGATGATTACTCCAGGTATGGTGATCTGGATAAAGTATCAGCCTTCAAGTTCGAATCCTACCTTGGGTCTCATATAAAAGGAGCTGTCAGATCAGGCTACAAACCACTCCAACAAATAGCAACTCACATAAGTCTCATCAATAACAACCCTAACAAATCTTGCAAGACATCAATTCATCTCAAATGCGAGAAAAAAACGCTGGCATCCTCTGAAAAATCTGTGGGAGAGTCATTCAAGTCACTGAGAATCCGAAAGGATATTGAAATTAAACGTGGATCTCTGGGATGCAGGGACAATGTTGTAAGATTGAAAAATGACCAAGTCGCTATAGTGCGAGATATAATTTTGGATACGACGGCTGTGAAACTGGTCGTGCAGATTTTTAAACATAATAAGGCATTTTTTGAGAAGCCCTTGGACTCTAGAATACTTGGGACCTATTTGGTGAAAAATTTAAGGAGTGTCAGGTATTATCAGCAACTGAAATAAAGTGTAAAATGATGCTTCTGCCTTTCAGAAAATCTTTTGTGGCAATAACTTTACCACATTCTCTGATAGTGTAGAAGATAAAAATGAAGGATTTCATCGGTGTTGTTTTTGGAGACAATTCCAACAGTGTCGTCCCAAAACGGTGGCTAACGCCAGGTAGTTCTTCGTCTGAGACCAAGTCTTGTTTCTGGCCATCAAAGAATGCACATGCGAAGGCGAAGGCGAATGCTGAACCCAACTCAAAATGGCCCACATACAACTGCAGAATTTTGACAGAAGCATGTGAGTAATAATACCTATTCGTCAACAGATTAAAAACAATGTTGGATTTTTTTCATTGCGCTTTTTTAAATTTCTTATCATTCATGAGGGTATTATTAAAAAAACTACACATTCCTTCGAGCGATTCCAACATTCAATTTTTTTATCTACATGGTAATGTTAAAATGAATGACAACATGTGTACAGATATATATGTCAAACCATAGAAATTTACTAACATGATATTTGTTATTACAGCAACTTTTGAAAGGTGCGAGAAAAAAATGTATACGCTAACGGATGGTTCAACCTCTGCTGACGACGAAGCTGCTCAGCCATTGATCCGGCCTGTGCCTGTCTTGTCTTTCACCCCTACATCTGCACCACGGAAGTGCATTGCTCAGCAGTAAGTAAATCTTTAATTTTAATAAACTTGTCAGTAAGGAATAATTCAAAGAAACTCTTAGTACAGCGTTTGTCAAAATGGATTTATATCCGTTTTATTACATTCTTTTAATGCTCAATGAAATAAATTCAATAATCAAATTCTCTCAGATAATGTAAAATTATTTGAGATGTTAGTTGTTACACACAATGATTTTTCTGATACCTGCCTGCCAACAGGTGTGGGACTTTTCCAGAGGAATGGATGGAACGCATTGGTTCCATGATTGGAGAGCTAACAAACAAAATTGACAGGGTCGAAAAGAACCAAAACAAACTCGAGAGGCACGTCAGTAAGCATATTGCCATGGCGGAAAGCAAGTCTCTGGGTGCCACTGAAGCCCTCCCCGCGCCAGCCACTTCCATGACTGAATTAGATAATATGGCTAAGGATCCTAACCTGGTGGGTACAGTATGAGTAAACATAATCTTAGTGTCGAGCCAACATTTTCTTCGAAAGAGATTTTTAGGACCTGACCTGACATGGTGCCGACATACATAGATATGCAAGCAAACATACTGCCTATATGGTAAATTTTGTTCCAATTTCTTTCTAATTAGATATGGTTTTTTACTGCATGTTCTTGTATATGTATTTGCATTTGCGGAATTGAAAATAGAAATTCTAAAAGAAGGCAATAGAAGTTTTAAAAATTTCTCCCATACAGATTCAAAAATTGCAACCATACATCGGATGCAACTCCAAGATGACTACGAGGAGACTGCTGAAGCGCTGCATGTCACGGGATTTGGCACTTCAGTTCAGTTTTACTGGTTTGGGAGAGAGAAGAACTGCAACCAAACAAGCATTTGGAGGCCACCTACTATGCACGCGAATTCTAGGTGGGTATTGGAATGTGAATGGTCATGGTGCAAAATGTGTTGATGGTGCAGATTCTTCTGTTTGATGGGTGATAAATGTTTAGGTAATTTTTGTTTCGCTGAAAGGAGAGCTTATATAATATTTCAGTCTCTGTAATAGATATGCCAGACATTTATACTGATAAATATTGGACCAGGGCTCATGTTTACTGAATATACGTTTATAGTAATTCTTACTGTGTTGGTGAGTGTTGTAATGGTGGTGAGTGTCGTTATGGTGATGAGTGTTATGATGGTGGTGAGTGTTATGATGGTGGTGAGTATTATGATGGTGGTGAGTGTTATGATGGTGGTGAGTGTTATGAAGGTGGTGAGTATTATGATGGTGGTGAGTAATATGATGGTGGTGAGTGTTGTTATGGTGGTGACCAATAAGTAATTTGACCTCATTAACTTTCAGGTGATGCCGCGGCGTTGCAGATGAAAGATACAAGGGAGGTGCTCGTAAGCCACATCCAGACCGCACTCCGAGGTGCGCGTGATTGGGACGGAGGAAGGAAGTTGCGGCTTGATGCTGCCGCTTCTCTTTCGGGTGTCGGTTCATCAACTCTACCTGCTACTGCGTCAATTGATATTGTGCATGGAACTGTTACTACTTGTACATCTCCTGCTGGATCAACGGGCGGTCCACGTAGTCCTGCCTTCCTACCATCCGACGTTTTCATTCATGATATTGAAGGCGCTGGCGCTGGAGCCGAAACTGATGCCGCAATCGATGAACTGCTTAGTTCCTCTGCAAGTGAACGCAACGAGAACAAGTCTTCTTCAATTGGTGACGAAAATTTGTCCAATGATTCCAGTGACAGTTAGGAAATTTCAGGTTTTTTAATGTGTGTGATCATAATTACCTGTTTAGCAGTGACTTCATTATCATGGTAGCAAAATTGGCGGGATCTGTTGTGGCCAGTAAATCTAGTGTCTCTTATTGATTAAGGCTCAGCAAATGATCTTCATTTAATGTCATGCCACATTAAGGTAGCTCATTTTTTCAATAAGATGCCGTTTTCCAGTACATACTTTTTTTTCTTGACAATCATACAATGCTGTTAGTGAAAACTATAACATAATAAATACTATTAGTTAAGGTTTAGAAAAAAACCTTTTCACTGTTGAGTTTTTCGACAAGTGCCTGGAAATTTATTCAATTTCATGATGATAAAGATTGGGGTTGAAATATAATTAAGCTCTATAGCCCTAATTAAATACGAAAGTTTCTTTTCATTTGTTACACCGCCTCCTTCCTATACCGCTGTTTTAATGATTTTCATTATACGAACTAACTGTGCTTGATTAGAATTAAATTTGATATGCAATTGAAGCTAAGCTGCCTAGCTTTATTGTACTTGACTGAAGTTTTCGTCTCTCATTCTTTAGTTGGTATTTGATTTTAGGTCATCTCATGCTTTTGCTGTAATTTTATGTTGTGACCGTATGTAGACCGTAATTAATGAGATTGTGGGGTAAGTGCCAGTCATTACCCACACAGTAAAACAAGAATGAAAATGAAAGAGACTGGAACTGAGATTTTACTGCAAGGCAAATTAACAAGAAGGTGGGCTTTTGAATACAAGTATCAAGATGGAAAAATAGTGTAAAGAATAATACCCTTGGCAACGTGCGTATCTGTTGAAGATTGAATCTAATAAGTGATCGTCGTTGATGATGAATGAAGAGAAATAATGACACAATATAACAATTATTCAGACAATAAAAAGGAACCTATTAGAGCTTAAACTAACCTGCAGCGGGGATCAGCCGAACAATAATGACTAACGAGAAAATTCTGTGCGCGACGTTAACTTCCTACCGGTGTTGCCAAGGTAAAGGTAAATCATAATTTTATTACAAAATAAAAGTCGCAAAATGCCTTAACACTACAAGATAAGTTGAGCTGAAAGAATTTGACACTTGCCACTATTCTCTAGTGGTTGCGTTTCTTATAACTGTATGCAATTTACAGGCATTACTTTAATATTCGGGCTTTGATGTCGCAAGATGAACTTTTACATTTCAAATCTAGTTGGATAGACGAGGCCCATGACTAATTGATTTCCTACTGTCATTGTGATGAATTTGAGTGTTTTACAAGCTAGAGCCGCAAATTCCTCGGTCTGAGTTATTAACGGTGATAAATTTCATTGATTGAAAAAATAGCATTCTAACTATCTGCTTAGATTGAAATTTTATCATTTGATCTTGTTCTTTCTCTGGTCTACTTCATCTCATGTCAGTGTTTGCTTTTCTATATTGTAACGTTTTAGCGAATGTCTGCTTTGACTAACTAACAACCGTGATTAATCTGTTGAATATTATTCGAACGACTGATACAGGTTAATAATTTGTAAAGTCATGACAGCGCGTACAGTGTGTTTCCTTGTATACAATGTGGAAGTAAGAAAGTAAATTGTATTGTATTGGTCTGCTTTTCATTGAACTGTCGTGTAAAATTATGTTCAGTTACAGGAGTAGAATTCAATATTTTTGATATATGTAGTAGGGTGTGAAAACTGCTAATATTCAGCATCGATTACCATAGATTCGACATCGATTAATGAAGATTCCACGGAGATTAATGTAGATCTTACATCAATTAAGGAAGATTTTACATCGATCAAGGAAGATTTTACATCGATTAGGGAAGATTTGGCAACGATTAAGCAAGATTTGCCAACGATTAATGTAGATTTAACACCGATTAAGGAAGATTTGTCATCGAATAAGGAAGATTTGGCTTCGATTAATGTAGATTCGACATCGATTAATGAAGATGTAACGTCGATTACTGAAGATTCGACGTCGATTAATGCAGATTCGGCTTCAACTACTTAAGATTCGACATAGTTCAATGCAGATTATTCGACTCAAAAAATTATCGGGTGCAGAAACTTCGACGATCTTCGCTGAATCGGCCTAGAAAGCTCCTCTATAATCGGTGTTGAACCCCGCGACATTGCCCTCTCCGTTGCCCACTTCAAATGGGGTTTTGCCCTAGTCGATCAAGCAAGAATCTGCATTAATTTCTTCATCGATCCGCCCTAATCTTCATCGATCGATCAAGACCTGTTTGACTGGGAATGTACCCTAATTACTGTACTACGTCAATGCTAAATTATACACTCTATACTAATTTGTTTTAAATTGCATAGCTCATATATCGGCACTCAATTTACGCTAATCGTATAGAAGATAACATCGTATACACATGATGAAATCGAGATGGCGCAATGTCGAATTTTCGAAGCCACTAACCCGCATTAAAAAGAAGAACTAGATATGAATTTCTTAACTGAGAAACTGTGAACCACCTTAAAAGGGAAATAGATAAATTAATTAATCAATTATTACCGAGCACCACTAAAAAAATGCGTAAGTTTTGGTAACTTTATTATTGCATGCAGGGTGCATGGGGCAAAGGAACTTGCTCATGCATTTGAATTAGCCTTCCTGATGTGTGATCAAGAGCGCTAACTGTGAAGTTTTCTTCATATGATGAGCCGCATTAATTTATTTTATTTTTTCTTTGCAGTAGTCATGTAATGGACGAACGTGCATGGAACACGCTTTTGCGGTTGAGGCATATATTTTTCACGTGGTAAATCAATCAGATCGCCACGACACAGCGTGCATATCGTCTGTGCACTAGCTTCCATGTTGCACTTCGTGGCCGTGTTCCAGGACGACAGTTAATCGTTTCTTGGGTAAAGAACTTCAGGGAATCTGGAGATGTGAAGAAGAAAAAGAAGCCTAATCTCCCGAGGACTGCAAGATCTCCGCAAAACGTCGAAGCGGTGCGACAATCTATCTTGAGGTCTGTAGTGACTAGATAATATTATAGTGTATAATCTCCAAGCGGAAAGATATCATAATTTCTTTGAGATTATTAGTTGTTAAGCTGTTCCTTGTCGCATAGTTAATGTCGTAAATACGACGATACTTGTGAACTTCGACCGATAACTTCACTACGCGACAGCAACAGACGAGCATGCAGCGATGCATCGAGAGCGACAGCAGCCTTGCAAGAAATGCGAGCAGAGAAAATAATAACGAAAAAATGGAGGCGCGAGGCTAGTGCACGTTGTACCTAGACGTTTTACATTGCCTGCGAACTGCAAGATTGTTGTAAACGCATTCTCTCATCTCTCATGTCGTATTATGACTTCAATGTTTTTTCATTTTCGAATGGTATACTTATCATTTTACCCTGCGTTACAATAAAGTAATAGCGTATTTAAATGCAATTCTCGTTACACATAGCGATTGACGATGTCTCATTTTATCCTTGAATGCAACAGACTACCAAGCAACTTGAATGCATTTATTTATTGCAGTTGTATTTATTCATGTGGTATTTTTCAGAGACAGTGGCCGGTAAGACCTTTGACACCCCGGACCTAGAATGGTTCTGGCTGTGCGAAGACCACTTGATCCATTCCCACACAATGGTCTGGTCGTCGAGCATCTTTAACCATTTCAAATTGTAAGTGGATCGTATTGTTCGTTTAAACTTAATACGAAAGCCATAAGTTTTTCTAATACCAGTGATAAACTTGATCACTGTAACTAGTGGAGTGGTGAGTCCACTAATATTAAGATGACTACTTAATCCTTAGCAGGAGTGGTCGAAAGTCGAAACCATTAGGTCGACAGACCTCCGACTCACTAAAATCAAGCCCCCCTAAGGCATCCACAAACTTTAACTAAAGTGTACTGGCCAAGCTTAAGCACCGAGTGTACTCGAAAAAGGTATTATTTTGAGTGACGTAATCACGTCCATGATTACCACAGGCATTTGTCTCGTATCAGTGAGCACTTATTTTCAATTACATCTGCGTCTATTAGACAGCAATAATATTGCGCGCCTTGTTGACCTGGCGGCGCTTGAATACTAACACGTACAGGCGTCAACGACCACTTGGGTAATTTCCCACTACGACATTACAATGTCGATTTACTAGCCTGCAATATTATTGTGAGTTACGTTTTAATTTATTGTGTATCAATTTTTTGTGAATTCTATAGACATTGTTCCACGCACATTGGGAAATGATTTCTTAAGATTATGCTAAATTATAGCGATTGTAATAATCTCTACAAATTTACCGATAAGCTTGATTTGCTATCGATGTCAGCTATGATATGACTTTTCTTGGTTTAGCTTTCTCATGTTATATATACAGTGTATACTTTTCATTTATGCGAATTAATTGCATTATTATGTATTGCACGTTTGGACACCGTTGTAAACCATCTCATTGTTGCAATGGTCAAGCTTGTCTTAACAGTTCAAGTTAACGTAAAGTCAACTGAACTTATGAGCTAAAGAGTTTCAGTAACGTTAACGTAAATAAAAAGAAACGATCCTCTTGCATTTTGGGTTCTCATTTTCTTTTATTAGATATACTGTAATAGTGTCTCCAGCTATATTGTATAGTTATCTTTCTAATGCCCGTGTTTTTCCGAGCGAGAACTTTGTTCTTACGCCTACATCACGAGGCCGGCGACATGCTGTCTCCAACCTTGGCATTGAAGACGCAGCTACTATAGGCGAGTCATTGACTTATCATACGCCTGCCACGTCACAACGCTGACGTCACAGCTTAATAATCAGCTGTTTAAAAGCTCTGCACATCTTCGTACATAACGAGACGGCAAGCACAAATTAATGGATGCTGAATGAATTGCATGACGACGTAAGATGATCATCTTCAACAATGTCTCCTCCCGATGACATCACGGTTATTTTCCGTGTGAAATGTTGAAAAATTTCTAATACGGACTTCCAAGATTATTGTCCTCATACTTGGAAATTACTTTGGATCTACATATCGCCGAAACCATCCTAAGCAGAATCCATCGTGATCGCATACTTCACGCACTTCGTTGAAATTCGCCCACAGTGCAGTTATCTGACGTACTGATTACGCAGTTAAGAGAATAGTAGAGTAGCAGGATCATTGATCAGAGGCATATCTCATTTTCGCAAGCGATTTCGCTTGACGTTGCCTCAGCCTTGGCTTCTTCACGACTAGGAACAATTTAATTTAAGAGTGTTCCTTTTTTCAGCGCCTTATATATTTTTGCGCAACACTTCCTTTTCTCTTCAGCGAGCGTCAATTCTCTGGATAATTATCCTGTATTACTATCTATTATTGATATAAACGTTGATGATAATCAAATTGTAATACCGGATATTGTGACGCGATTTCATATTTTTTACTGCTACTGTGTATATGTAGACAACCAAGTTTTTTTAGCAGAGTCATAACGATAATATTATCGTCACCTCATGTTCTTATTTGAATTTCTTGATCGACGATTCCTTGCGATTTCATTTTATTTTTTGACATATGAAATCCTTACTGTTTGTGATGGTCTTTCAATATGTTTTCATCTGATTACATAGAATTTCTGTTGTGATGCAATATTCTATTGATTCAAATATTCTGAACTTATGTTTTCAGTATACAAATTGATTCATGTCAAATTGAGGGACCAATTTCCCGTAGGAAGGAAGGTGCTATTATGAATCTAAATTTGCTATTTTAGGATCTCTTAGCTGAATGTTTTACTGATTCTTAATTCTTGCTAATAGCATGATTTATCGACATGCTGCAATTTGTCAATTTTTTGCATTTTGAATAGCACTAAAATTCAGGAGCGTTAACACTTCCGTTTGATTTGATAAGATCGAGGCCGATCTAAAAATTTCCCCGTAGGAGGAAGGTGTAAGATGACAATGTTGATACCATTCGTCCCTTGATATTTCCTGATTGATGTCTTCCTTGTTGAAAGATAAGATCCTTCACATGCGATATGTTCATGAGCATTTCCTTGTATTAGCCTTTCCTGTTTATCAAATCACGTCCTTGGTGACGTCAATTAGCGTAGCTATATGAGCTCTGCCCAAACCAGGAAACTCAGTCTTGGGCCGAGAACCGTCGAGTATACGCCCATACTCCTGTCCTTAACAATCAGGACAGTAACTCTAAATTAATGTCAGAGTAGAAGATACACTCTAGACTTATCCATACTTCAACTGGACGCCGAAGACATCAGTGTTAGAGCTCCAACCTATTAACTGATTATCCTAAACTGTAAGCCGAACTATAATCCTAAAAGTATATTATATAATCGTTTACGCTGTCCCTCTATATCCTCGGATCCAGCTACAACCGAACCACCCTCAGGTCATACTTAATTACAATTCATATAAGGGTTGCATAGAAAAGCAACCTGTTACAGTACGGTTACCGACCAGTTAACAACACCGTACACTGGCGCCCGAAATCGTAACCTTTTACATTTATTTTTAAACTTCTCCAACTTGAACCCAGCAGAATCTAATTGATATTATAATGGATGACATGAAAGAATGTCGTGTTGTGCTGCACAAACTCTCTGATGATGCAGTTGAGAGAGGCTGGTGGTCTGGGCTGAATCTCCTGCTAAGGCCTTCTGGTGTTGGCAAATGCAAGTCTAATGGTAAGCTCAACATTTAGATATGAACCAATATCCAAGGTAGGATTAATTTATGAAGATAAAAATAATATTGTGTGGGCCATCACTTATATTTGACTTTCCATTTATATTAACAGAGACTGTGTTGCTCCCAATTATTTGCATACAATGAATTACAGTTTTTATTTTGTCAATGTGTTTATATCTTTTGGTACTAGTTTTGCCTCCATGTAATTTCTATCAATTCTAACCAGCAACAGCGGCCAGTGGCTCATCTCTGTGCCCTAAAGTCATTGTAGCTAACATCAAGCTTGAACCTCTATATGAGGAGGACATATCTGTGAAGGATGAGCCTATTGATATTGATGGAAATCAGGTAAAGTTATTACTCTATGGTAAAGTTATATTATGTAAATAACTGAGTTTATGGTTTTTGATCACAATTCTGCATTCTAATAAAATTTGCATGATTATGTCTCTGGCAGTGAACTTTGTATTGACATGCATCTGCTCCCTGAGCCCTGTTAGGTGTAATGATTCCCATGCATGCTGTATACAATTCATTCATATTTCATTCAAATCGAGGTTCTTTAGGGGGAACCATTTGATGATGAATGACTGAATCGAAATTCTATTCGAATGTTTCATTGCAAATGCCAGTGTTTGAGGTAATATTATACACTTAACACTTTATCTTTGAGGTCAATTTTTGAACTATTAGTTCAAAATCCACCGCAACTAATTTGCCTTCATTAGGATATTATCAAAGTATACGTGACTGATGTGACCACCTGTTGTGTCAGGCTGGTTCAGGTGAGCCTCCCAGCCCTGGGTGTGGTGGCCAGCTAGCTCCACCTTCCTCATCAGGTATTTACCACAAACAAACGAAAATATAATGACATCACTGAAAATGATTTTTGAGTGGTATAAAAAAATACCTGAAGTATTGTTGTGTATTTTCATATTTCAAAAATCATGAAAAAATTAGATTTACATGGGAGTCCCTAGTTTTTAAAGTCCCTATCACATCAACAGCAAAAAGGATCAATTGAAATAAAACGCACCAATTACCTGAGATATGATTATGAAGATGAAAATTATACTCTGTGTATTAACACATATATAAGATTTTCAATTTATATTAACAAGACTGCATTGCTCACAATTATGTGCATACAATGAATTACTAATTGGATTTCGTCAATGTGTCTATATATTTTGGTACCAGTTTTGCCTCCATGTAATTTCATTTCAATTCTATCCCACAACAGCGGCCAGCAGCTCATCTCTGCGCCCTAAAGTCGTTGCAGCTAACATTAAAATTGAGCCTCTATATGAGGAAGAGGACATATCTGTGAAGGATGAGCCTATTGATATTGATGAGCTAGCTCCACCTCCCGCATCCGGTTGGCCGGACAAGATGGAAGCTCAAATTGAGGCTCGTGAAGCACATGTAGCCCACCGTCCTGCCTCGCTCTCCTCTACCATGCCTGGACATGTGGTGGGTGGTTGTGTGTTAAGACGATTGAGAATTTAAAGTAATGTATCACTTGATGGTTTACATAAAAGCTTCATAAGCTTGGTGGAATTTTTCAATCACTTATCATCAGGCATTCAAGTTCTAATTAATGGATATATTCATATGCTAATTTAACTATAAAATAACCTGCTATTATCATACTACCTCGTAACCTACTTCATGGTGACCTGCTGTTACTTCTTGTTTGTTGAAAATTATTGTCCAATTTCACTTTACCAGTAAATTTAGCATACCCTGAGATGTTGGTTAAAAGTACTGCAAAATGCGGTAACTTAGACTCCCGGGGTAACTTAGACCACTTTTTGTTTTTTTTTTAACAGAAACCCCCAAAACTCAAAAACTATTCGACATAGAAAATTTTGTCAATAGTCATTAAAGGCCTAATACTGAAGCTACGTAACACAATAGAAAGATTTAAAAAGTTTGCATATCTAATAGGTTACAAAATTAAAAATGTGAACCACTAAAAAGAGCTATAATTGAAAGCCTGTCGGAGTACCCTTTCCAACTTTTTCATTTTTTTGGTAAAATAACTCCAGGTTTTGATGCATTTTAGTAGAACTATTCTAGTTACATATGCAAATGACAAATTTGAGGAAAGTGTCATAGTTTGCAAATGGGGGGCACTGCCCCCAATGGGGGAACTTCGACCACCTAATGTCAGCCCTGACTGGGTAACATAGACTGGCATGGACATTAATTTAAAATTACCTCATATAACTTATTTCATTTTTGATACACCTATTAATGTTTTTCTTTAGGTTTCAGATTCTATAGAGTCTTATATATGGTAATTTTAACTTAATTTCCAAGCCGGTCAATATTACCCCTTCACGGCTGACATTAGGTTCTAAGTTCGCCCATTGGGGAGCGGCGCCCCCCATTGCAAACTATGACACTTTCCTCTAATTTGTCATTTGCATATGTAACTAGAAGAGTTCTACTACAATGCACCAAAACCTGGAGTTATTTGGAGTTATTTTACCAAAAAATATAGGTAATGTATTTTACCACCCAGTCTAAGATACCCCAAGAGCTGGGGTAACAAAAACCATCACTTTTTTTAAATTACATCAAAACTATGAGAGGCAGGAGCCAGCAATTTATGGTGAGTAAACCTAGAGTATAGACCTGTATTTTGCCTGTTTCAATTTAGGTTTAATTTAGCTAGTAAAAAATGGCATTATTTAAATAAAATACTTAAAAAACACTTTAAAAAAAACACGTTTTTCTTGTGGACTAAAAAGTATAAAATAAATTCTGGCTCGCCCCCAAAAGACGTGTGTCGGGCAGATTTATGATTAAAACGAAAAGTACACAACACACTAATTTTGGAAATTTGATGGTGAACGTACAGCCCGACCCACGTTTTTTGGGGCGAGCCAGAATTTATTTTCTACTTTTTAGTCCACAAGAAAAACGTGTTTTTTTAAAAAGTTTTTTTAAGTATTTTATTTTCTACTTTTTAGTCCACAAGAAAAACGATTAAGACTTGATTAAGTATGACTCGACGTACGTATCGATGATACGCAGCGTCAGTGCCTGCTCGTCTATAACGTCAGCGCCCGCACGTCATACTATATACATATAATTATATAAATATACTTCACTCAATTAAGCTAATTTAGGTCTCTAATTGCTAGTTTTTATGATTGTAACTAAAATTGTTAGGCGAAAATAGCCTGCATGCCGAATTTCAGATCTCTAGAGCAATCAGAAGTGGGCTAATTTTCGTTGTCAATGTTAACAACAAACAAACAAACAAACAAACGCGAAGCTAAGTTAAGAAAAACGTGTTAAAAAAAGTAGTCTAATTAAGTTACCCCATTTTACAGTAAGGTTTATAAGCCAACCATGGAGCTGTACCATCAGGTGCAAAAGCTTCACACAGAATTTGGAAACTTATAGAGCCGCATTGTATCAGCTCATTGTGAGATTCTGTGCATGGCGAGCGCCGAGTGCTTCGTTTCTTCATCATCTCCTCTCTGAAACGCCATCAAGCTCTTCTTTGTTCTTATAAGTGACAGTTCAACATTATATAGAATAAGCAATCCAAGCATGACGTGCTTATCAAATAATCCTTTTTGACGCATAAAATGTCCAATTTAGGCCAAAACAGTATTAATACACATAAAAAATAAACCAAAAATTACTAAATGCAATTCAACAAAATTACATTATATTCCATGACTTTTTGAATAATTGAAGCTAAGATTCCTATAGATTTTGGTCAAAGTTACAGGTAAGCGCCAATAAAATTTTGATTCATTTGGATGCATTTCCTGTAACAAATCCTGTAACAAATCCTCCGTCCTCAGAACGTGGGTAGGAGGCAGTCCGCACCTGCAGGAGATCCAGAAGACGCTGGTGGCAGCGGCGGCGCCTCTGAAGCGTCCAGCTCCCAGCAGCGCAGCGAGAGGCTCCCGTATTCCCAGCGGGGTTTGGTTGATGCCAAGGTTACCTGCCAATTGCAGCAGCGCCATCCAGATGAGCAGGCATCCTCACATCTGTACTCATGCTTTGACTGTGAATATTCCTGCGGTTCAGAGCTTCAACTTCTGAAACTCATTTCTGCTAAACATAAGCGAGAAAGTACACATCGTTGTTCGGGACCACAAAGCGTTTGTTTCATGGAACGAAATCCTGCTAACAACATTATTTACAAACATTTATCTAAGAAACCACATCGCTGCAAAGAATGTGAATATTCTTGTGACACTAAGAGCCATCTGAAGAGTCATGTTCTTCATAAGCATTCATCTAAAAAACCTCTTAGCTGTTCAGAGTGTGAATATTCTTGTGACACTAAGAGCCATCTGAAGAGTCATGTTCTTCATAAGCATTCATCTAAAAAACCTCTTGGCTGTTCAGAGTGTGAATATTCTTGTGTGACTAAGAGCCAACTGAAGAGGCATGTTCTTCATAAGCATTCATGTAAAAAACCTCTTGGCTGTTCAGAGTGTCAATATTCTTGTGTGACTAAGAGCCATCTGAAGAGTCATGTTCTTTATAAGCATTCATCTAAAAAACCTCTTAGCTGCACAGAGTGTGAATATTCTTGTGTGACTAAGAGCCATCTGAAGAGTCATGTTCTTTATAAGCATTCATCTAAAAAACCTCTTAGCTGTATGTGAATATCGTTGTGTGACTAAGAGCCATCTGGCGAGGCATTTTCTTAGTAAGCATTCATCTAAAAAACCTCTTGGCTGCTCAGAATGTGAATTTCGTTGTGTGACTAAGCCATCTGGCGAGGCATTTTCTTTATAAACATTCATCTAAAAATGTCTTGGCTGCTCAGCATGTGACTATTGTTGTGTGACTAAGAGCCATCTGGCGAGGCATTTTCTTTATAAACATTCATCTAAAAACGTCTTGGCTGCTTAGAATGCGAATATTCTTGTGTGACTAAGAGCCAGCTAAAAAATCATAATCTTCAAAAACATACATTTGTGTAAACTCTCCGCTGCTCTAAGTGCAAATATGCTTGCGCCAGGAAAGAAAGCTTAAGGTTGAGATTGAGAACCGCGAGCCCTCAGGCAGGCTTGGCTGGATCCCTATGAGAATCTATCACTGCGTATAGTCGTTATAACTCCACTCGTAATTGAAATATCAATCTAAATTTTTTCATGCTCATTCAACTATTTATTTACAATTTCCCTACATGTTACAAAATATACGTAAATTTTGTATAACATCAGTTATGATAGAGTAAAATGTTGCACATCGATATTCATTATACATGCAAGTGATACGACTTACCTAATTTTTTGAGACATGAGCAAGTAGTACTATTTATTCTCTATTGATCGGTATTAAAGTCATGTTTGAATCATCCTCTATTTCGTAGAAATATTCGAACAAAATACTTTTTCATCACTCCTGCATCGTAGATTTCCCATTTTCTTTGAAAGCTGACCCCGAGCATGCTAAAAGTGTCGTACCGTTCTAGCGATGCCTTCTTTGACGGTCATAAATCAGCTGGTGTGCAGTGGCATAGTTCTCGTCTACCCTCTCCCTTGGTGGTAGAGGGACAGCCTCCTTACCCCCTTACCCTCCTGACTGGTAGGTGTTAAAAGGCTAGCGCGTTTAGATTACAACCTACCATTTTTCGTGTGCGAGGACACTGGCGGCAACATGAGTTTCTCTCTCAAATCGAAAAAACTGTGCCTTTTATCACCACGAATCAATAAAGGTCTCCAGCTGAAAAGTATGGAGGTAAGATTTATTACAGTCGTTACTTATCATGGATATAACAAGATTTGAATCTCATCAGTAAGAGGTCTCTAAAATAGAAGTTATAAATTCTTTTATTTGTTATAATAACTTTTAATAATGTCAATGGTGAATGCCAATGATTGCGATGAAGTACAGCCCATGTTTATATATTACTACAGTGCTATATCGATGTTGTTGCAAAATGCTGAGCCACCTAATAGCAGTGAAGAATCAAGCGTGCAGAACGTTGAGCCACCTAATAGCGGTGAAGAATAGAGCTTGCAGAACGCTGAGCCCCCTAATAGCAGTGAAGAATCCAGAAGATACACATATTGTTGTTGTTGATTTTGAACCGATTTTTTGGCTTAAGCGAATGGAAGTGCAGCTTAAAAATGTTTACTCAAACAACATGTTACCTTGCAATATCAATAATGATGTTGAATATTGAATAGATGTTGAATAGTCGTTACACGGGTCATTGTGTATTCAGTCGAGCGAGCCTCGACCATATGAGAAGAAAAAGCCTCACAATTTTTCACCTCCCCCCCCCTTCAAAAGCCCCTACTGCGGTTTCACAGCTTCCCCTTCTGTCTCCATCCCCATGGAGATGGACACTTCGCTGTTGCTATGCTAGCGACAGCCAGTATCACTGTCATTATGAGTAAACTTTTGGTCTCTGTACTGTCTAATTTACTGTCTCTGTAGTTTGATAGATCTTGATTAACAGTAGAAGTTAAAATTTCGTCGCCTTTCTGTAACCTTCCCTTGATGTGCCTATATCAGGAAAAAAATAATAGTGTAGTGACAATACGTCTTTTGTTCAGAAATCTGTACTCTATGAATTAAATATCATGGAAATGATTTAGGTATTGAATGTGATGCCTTTATATGGTGAAAATGAGCATAAATCTGTGTGAAATCAGTCTATTTGGCTTGAAGTATAAGCTAATATTACAGTGCGAGACACCGACATAACTTGGACGAGGGGGAGAGAGGATGAGTGTCACATGAGGTGGGTGAGGAGGGGTATCTTCCCCACCCAGACCCTCTTTGTGGGCTGCCTAACGGACTACAAACATCGAGGCACTTCATGCCAATACCGCTGTCCTTACGAGGAAACTATTGATCTGAATGACAGTCTTTGTAGTTTGACATATCTTAATTACCGCTTAAAGTTAGAATTTCGGCGCGTTTCTGTAACCTTTTTTTTACGTGCCTATAGTATTGAAGCCTATCAAGAAAAAATAATTAATAATCCAGCGACAATTTATCTTTCGTGAAGAAATGTATACTATTTAAATTAAATATCACAGACTTTATTTCGGTATTGAATATGATGCATTTATGTACTGGGGATGCGAATACATGAACATGAAAGAATAAATTAATTAATTGAAAATTGAATTTATGTTTATATGTTTTTAAAGTCGCTCTGTATATAGCAAAAAATTTGCTGGTAGTATTCAAAGTTCATTGATGTCATGTGCACTGTTGTGAGGCTGTATTGTGGTGCAGCGATGCGGGCTCGCACGACACTCCTGTGACACCACGCGGGCCAGACGTAAGATAGTAGTCACGGCAGCGACCCCGGGCACGCTCGCTTTGGAGTTCTGGCGGTTCTCCATAGCCCCCTTAACTCGACATATTCAGGCCTAAAATTTTAGAAAAAACTCTTCAGTACTCAATGAAATGAAAGACATTGAGTAAATTGACTCGCTGAATATCATCTGTCGTTTCATTGACCAGAGGAACCACTTTGCTGCTGCGAGTTGATCACATTAAAACCATTTTTTAAAGAAAGTTTATAACAAACTACTTCCGAATTTACTGAAGAAGTCATTTGAATGTTAATTATATGGAGTACAACTAATACAGGGGATAGTATTGACTGTTCGAACCATTCTGTCCATACGATGCCTCAAGTTTGCACCTGCATCGTCTGCGATGCTCCAACGCCTGCATCAGCATCGTCATGCGGTGCCCCGACGCTACAAGACTGGTGATAGCTGAAGCCCTCATCATTAAGGATAAGTCTCCAGCTATCAATTTACCAACCACTGGATGTTGAAATTGTTATCAGCGCACTTCATTGAACTTCTTCATTCAGAGTTCAAGGTGGTTCTGAAGGAATTCGTCCCGTGCCCGTCTAAACGCCTTTGAGAACTCCATGTTGCCAGTATCTTTGAGACAGGTATCTTAGATACCACCATTTCGTTATTTTTATGATGCGGTTTTTTAATACTGCCATTTCTGTATTATTGTCATGCAGAAGAGACCTGTGAGGTGTCATCTGCCCGCACATCAGCTGTGGTCATGCCTTAGTTTCGCATCTTTGCTACTTTACATTCGCCTCAGCACGCCAATCTGCAAACTGCGTAATGAAGTTTTACAAAAATTTCAAAGAAAGCGAAAAAAAACTTATAGCAGCCATGAAAGAAAAGCCAAAACGGGTAGTTCACGGTCCCGGTAGTGCTGGCCACCCCTCCCCCGGTGCCACCTCATCTTCCCTTGCAGCTAACGGTACCCTCGCCTCTTCCCATACGCCCTCCCCCACCTCTTCACTCACTCCTAACCCAACACCTACTTCCAGCTTTACCCTTGCCCTCAGCCCTTCCAGTGCCCCAACTTCTGATCCTACCGATATTCCTTCTTCTCAATTAGGCCCATACACTCCGGCTACCGCACAAACCCATGAGAATGGCGACTTGGAAGATGGATTGCCATCATCCCTTCTAGATTTTCCAACCCTCTCAACACCACCGCCCTTACCATTCACCCAAGTTGCAGATGCACCCTCAAGTAGACCACCAGTAAAGAAAGGTGTTTGCTGGAAGTACCTGCAAAAGAAATGTGAACACGGAAAAAAGGGCGATGGCTGCAGATTTTCACATCCTAGACTGTGCCATAAATTCTGTACCTACGGAAGCGGGCACCCACGAGGGTGCAAAAAAGGAAGGGACTGCGCCTGTCTCTTATACACATCTAGATGTGTATAAGAGACAGGAGATCACTAGCAGAGCACAATTGACATAATTAGAGAGCACATGTAACATAATTAGAGGGCACATGTAACATAATTAGAGAGCACATGTAAAATAATTAGAGAGCACAATTGACATAATTAGAGAGCACATGTAACATAATTAGAGAGCACATGTAACATAACTAGAGAGCACAATTGACATAATTAAAGAGCACAATTGACATAACTAGAGAGCACAATTGACATAACTAGAGAGCACAATTGACATAACTAGAGNTGGAGTCGGTAGCAAGTGTGGGGTGATGTACCTGAAGTATTCATTATAGGCGGTGGTGTTGGAGTCGGTAGCAAGTGTGGGGTGATGTACCTGAAGTATTCATTATAGGCGGTGGTGTTGGAGTCGAGGTAGAGGAGGTAGGCGGCCAGCGACTGGACGTCGGGGAAATCGAAGACGTCGATGTAGGCGTCTTTTGGCGCCCCGGTCAACTCGTGGCCCAGGCCGTACGTCACCGGGATGACGTCATATCTTCCGGCGAGACAATATTTATGCATTTTTAACATGGCCTTGTCGTCTGCTGTAAAATCGTAACAAATAGAGACATAATAAAATTATATTTTATTTCATTTTTTTTTATTTATATTTTTTATAAAAAAATATTAAATTTTTATTTTTTTTCTCATTTCATTGTTTATATGAAATAAAATTGTTGATAAAATTTCATGTTGTATACATTGGAAAACTGAACACAAACGGAGACTATCAGAAATCGTGTGCATAATAATTTTCAGTTGAACTTCAGTACGAATTAATTGGAATAAAATTGAAAAATTTTCCCTATAAATGTGATTTAAAATACGCTGAAAATCGGGTAAATACGCTACGAGCAAATTCTAGGATTCATAATTTCTGAAAAAAAACTGTACGTCTATTTCTGAAAAAAACTGCATGGTCTATTCAAGGTTCTTGAAGGATTTCTAGAATTTGAAACAAGAACCAACACCAGGGGCCACGGCTATAAGCTAGAAAAACTGCGCTGCAACTTCTCCACGCGACAAAATTTCTTATCGCTTCGAATCACCGACATGTGGAACAGCCTCCCCGATGACATCGTTGGCGCTCCAAGTATGAACGCTTTCAAGAACAGACTAGATAAAGCTATGGAAAAATATATGTTCAGATTTGAAATGCCTATATATATATAGCACCATATCGAACCCGGTGGAAGTCTAGTTGCTACTTCAAACAATTGTCAGTGTTGAAAAGATCCGGTCAAATGACTCGATTTTAGATCTTCTGTGAACAATGCACGAAAAGGAAAAGAATCGGCGACAGGCCACAGCTGGCCTACGCTTCAGCTCCGAGATCACTATGTTATGATCACTATGTTAATACTCTTTCCGATTTGAGTTGATAATTGTAGGAATGATAATGAGTTTTCGATCCCCACTAGAAGTCTTAGGTTTCACCTATAATCATGTATCTCTCGATCACAGAATATTGTCACTATTCGTCCGTTCTCTTGGACTTCGGTATCTTATTTTTAAACGTGTCACTAAGAGTCGGTATTTTATACGCAACTCTGAGGCTATTCGCTCTGAGTAAGCAACGTTTTATTTGAGCGAAACAGCGAATGCCTTTATATAGGAGCCAAATGTCATATGTAAATTCAGGCATATTTTCATGGAAAACGAGCTAAATTTAATTATTACCGTAATAGGTTGAAGAATTTTTCTGTGACATAGTGATTGCAGAGGGAATTTTCTAAGGACAAGTAGAATTTGTACTCCTGCTCCACCATTTTATAGCATGCATCAGATTGAGATGGGCCGCACTGCAGCTTACCGCATTTGCCGTATATGTCGACTTGCACGCCGTGCTTCTGCAAGGACTGCGCCAACCTTTATAACAATATTACTCGTTATTATTTTCAAAAATGCCCACAGAATCATTTTCAAACCATCTAAACTTGCTATTTAGGCTTTAATATCAGAAAATGCGTATAATTGTTCCTAATCACTGAAATAATGTATTGACAAATCAAAACTTTTTTCTTTTTAATTCATAATTTGATTATTATCAAAAATCATAATCCAAGACCAATGCTGATCAAAATTATTGGTGATTTTACAAAATAATTGTAGCTGTTGAATTTTTTTGCCTCATCCGAATAAACTGTTCGCCGCGTTTATGTAAATCTTAATCTAGAGCTGTGCAACTTACTTCATTCTATTACTGGGAGTCGAATGGCAGTTGGACACAAACCAAGCAGCCATTCTTCGCTTGCTGCGTGGCCCGGTTACATCAGGATGGTGACGCGTTGGGTCGGCAGGTTTGGCTCTCAAGTGAACTGCACCGTTTCTGTTAAACACAAAATGCTAAGCTTCGAAAATGTTATACTGCCTCGTAGACCTTCAATATATACACAATTAAAATGCAAAAATGGGAATACCCATATTTGAGAGATAACTTCCCTTTACAAATTTTCCATTCAGCAGATCAAACTTATTTTCAATGATTATTTCAAAAGCCATCGGGTAACATGATGCTGGATTGGCGAAATGATGCTGAATTGTAAAATATTGCTTGGTTATTTTCATTGTTTAAGTAAAATAGCGCGGAGGTGCTCTTCAACATACGTCTTAACGATGTCCGAGTCTTTCCTGTACCCCATGGTGTAGTCGACCCGGCCTTCGAAGGCCTTCAGACCCTCACGGCCATAACGTATGGGGGCTTCGTAGGACTGTAGTACCATCTTGGCGTTCGGAAAACTGCAGAAATAGAATGAAATCTCGTTGATTAAGGTCTCTTGAAAGAGGCATAGACAATATGTAACTTTAATAAATATATAAAATCATTTAATTGATTGTGACAACTCACGATTTATGCAGTCTCCATTATTACAAAGTCTGATATCAACAAGTGACAAGAACGTTTTACAGCAATGTTGATGCGAATCACTGCTTTCTGATTTTTGCCCTTTAAAAAAATGCGAATAGTTATGCTAATAGATTGCTAATCAAATTTGTAAGTAGAAATTTGAATATTCAATTTTAAAAAGTTTCTGCAGCAAATGCTTCCTCACATTATTGTGTAGAATACTTATTGCATCCCGTAAGAAATGGACAACGGGTTCTATCGATTGAATGTAACGATGTTGTGAATGATTGCAAATTTTATCACGTTCGATTGAAAAAGTTTACAACAGTTAAAAACGATACTACGCCAAACATAATACGAGCTTAATTGACATTGAGCTATTGTATCAAAGGCGAATGATCTCTCGGGCAGTGAACAGCAGTTTTCTCTAAAGCAATGATTGTTTGCAACGCACATAACATTCATTAAAAAACGGAAAGTTCAGATTAGGTTATAGATCGCTCTTTAAATGGATCTGTTGTGGTTAACTGGAAAGATGCTCAAAATGTATTTAAATCACATTAAGAAGAAGACAAGAAAACGATGAAGATAAGTAAATCGTGGCCATTGTGACATGATAGTACGACTTGATTGAGATCACAGTCATCCAGTAAAACAGCTCTAAGCTAAGATGCTCCAAATGCGTTATATTATGTTCATAATTTTATTTTTTGTCGAACACGATAAGTCAATGCTGCAGTTTGATTCAATTTCAAATATTTTTTACCTTTTTCTGTCTGGTAGGGCTCTCAGTTGTCTTGAACCACGAATCCACCATGAATTCAAGATGATTGCGTCCACTTCTTCTGCAGTTACCAAAGTTTTGTTTGCTGTAATTTGACAATTGTTCACGGGACACCCCAGAAAGTAGTTGTGGTCTCCATATTTTGTTCTCTCTGGACGCCTCTGCATTCAGACAAAGCATCAAATTAATTCCACTCTCTACTTTCCATCCATCGTCTAAATGGGAATTCGATTCTAGTTTAAAATATTCAAAAATATTAGATTATTTATTAATATACAAGGCGTTTGGCGTACTCACATCTCCATTAAAAATGTCAATGATTCGTGGCATTATTCCTGTTTCTCCCTGCCGGTAGGATTTTTTCTCGAACTCATTGAGCTGTGAAATGGGATTAATGGTATATCTCTTCACTATCTCTTAGTTTTTTTTACTATATAATCTATTTTCACTCTAATGTACTATTCGGGAATAAGTTGAACTCACTTCCACCCACATCAAAATTGTTTTGATGTCAATATGAGATTCGTTCGTCGCAGGTCCGCCGTCTGATCTGTGTCCGTCGCCCCACCGGCTCTCCAACCGACGCTGGATGTAATCGAAGTCCAGCGAGTCCTTAGCTATGAAGTTGATCCTGCGTGATTATGGTAGGAAATTTGCTGATAATGCCATCGTTACCTCGGATCATAGACGGATGAGGAAATTTAATATTCGGGTATCTCTTATTAAAACTACCTTAATATTTGTTACGGTTGTATGTAGACTTATAAATATAAGGTTGATAGAAAATAAAATAACTTACACAAGGAAATTAATAGCGAAGAAAACGCCAGCAAACTCAACATATCGATATTGAAATCGCTTCGGAGTCCAGCTCCATCATCAGTTCGACAATCTAAAAAACGAAAACAATCATTTTAGAATTAAAAATTCTAAGTCAGACATTAAAACCTAAAGAGACATAAAACACAAAACAACCTTAAATCGAAAAATTGAATTGACTCAGGAGCTTGTTTTTTTAGTCAATTGTTGCGCAAGTGCTTGTTTTCGATTTAAGGTTGTTTTGTGTTTTATGTCTTTTTAGGTTTTAATGTACTTATAATTTTTAATTCTGAAATGATTGTTTTCGTTTTTTAGATTGTCGAACTGATGATGGAGCTGGACTCAGAAACGTTTCAATATCGACATTGTGAATTTGAATGGCGCTTTCTTTGCTTTTAAATTCCTTGTGAACTTGCGAGTTAAGCAGACTGATAAAATAAGTAAAATGAATTAGTGCTCTATGAATAAGTAAAATTTATGTGATTTAAATGAACGAACTTACTTCAATCGCAGAGCACAAGACTGCCCCAATGGATTGTCGGTCTTTTCGGCATCACAGTTGATGAATTTGCTGGAGAAAGACTCTTTCCGGATAGCCCAATCTTCGGCTGCTATTTTTGCAGTCAACGATTTGGGAATGTCAGGGTAAGCTAAGGCAATATTACTAGCAGCGTGGATTGTGACGTTACTATGAGTGGAAATAGTAGAGTTGCTTGATGAAGAAAACGAAACGTTGCCAGCGGCAAGAATTTTAGTATCACTTAAGGAAGCGATGACGAGTCGGCCAGAGAGCAAGGCTTCATCCATGTTAGAAACTTCACTGAGACCGGTTGTGCACACTCTGAATTGACTAGAAGCTTGAATTTGTACTGTATCAGAATAAAAATCCCCGAAAATGCCGTCAATAGAGATGTTCATTGCATTGCATGATGAAATAATAATATTCAACGCCGAGACGGAATATTTAAGAGAGGATTTGTAGGCCAGAAGATCCACGCATGAGGGATCATTGGTACCGTCCTTCTCATTGGGCTCATTTCGCTGAGAGTTTATGAAGAAAGATGGAAATAACAGTTGTTCTGTTTGAAGGCTGAGAAGGATGTAGAAAATTGAAGTCAAAACGACCACAAGAAACCCGCCGCGATACAGCCATTTCTGAAAGAGAAAAATTGGGTCAAGGAAAAACATTTGAACAGCTATTAAATATTTATTACGTTGTAAACTTAAATAACAGTTTGCAATGAAGAGCCATAGATTTAGGGGATAATTCTGACAGCATTAGATCGTTGTATCACCCTTTGTTAATTTATTAATGTTTTTGGGTTTATAATGCAGTGGGTTTGTGATCAAAAATAAAGAAAAAAGTTCCTCTATTCAGCCTCTTTGAAATCGTAGAAAAACGAAGTAATCATGATACGCAATAATTAATCAAACGGCACCGCCGCCATAGTGAAGGTTAGAGGAAAATTTCACCGTTCAAATTTCACTGTTAAAATTTCATGCGCAACCAAATACAAGTTGGGTCATTAAATCATTAAATAAGTAAATTTTGCGAGAAATTTCCGCAAAATAGGTGGAGGAAATTAAGTGACACCGTCAACATGGATTGAAACCCCGAAAATGCCGGTCTTTTTCCGGGTAATACTAAGCGACGTGGATATCGTATCTTGCCACCGCGAATGCGATGAAGTCATGATAATTATTTTTCCACACTATTTCAACGTCACAATACAATTAAAAAAAACGGGCAAAAATATTTTTCACTTGTGATACAGTTTTCAATAACGAATTTTTTTTTTCAAATTCAATATTCAAAATTGTAGTTGAAATTACAAAAAAGGTAAGAAAATGTCATTTGATCGAGTTACCCTATTCGCTAAGTTTAGACAAACGGGAAGTTGTCACCTGGATCGTTGAAAATACAATTTACAAATTTCACGATGCAAAATGTGATCCATGTGACTGACAAAAGAACAGAATTCACCTTATAGTGAGAGCAGTGTGGCATTTGCGATGTTCCCGTGCAAACCTGGGCGTGTGCTGATCTTCTAACTGCCGAGTCCGTGTTAACAATTTATAAACGTATTTAGCAAACTAATTCAAACGAATCGTGTAAAATTAAAGTTCAAAATGCCACATATTGTGCTCATAATTCGCTAATTTATTTTAATGTCGCTAATATATTATTTTTTTCCGTGGTTAGAGCAACGGATGAGGACCGTTGTCTCTTCTGCAACTTGCAACGCTCGACTGCATTCATATATCAGACGCAGACAGGAACACACTGCATAGATAAAGCATTCAATGACAGATAAATAATTGCATGTAGCGGGCAGCTGTGTGATGAACCTATCGATGCATGGGCGTCAGGTGTGCGAACATCGGCTGATTTTTTTACGAAATAAATATAAAACATTTAAGCGTCTGCACCCATGCAATATGGATGGGTTTTGGTCACCATTGGTATGGGGATGAGAAACAACCATGATATTGTCCTCCTGTATAGAAACAGTGCTGCTGGTTCTCCATCGTTTCTGCAAGAGGGACTGAAGTCCAGTGAATGAGTCTTTATGCCGAAAAAAGTAAGGCAATTTGAACTATAAAATTATTCAAACATTATTCTGAGCCCTGTCAAGATTAACTATCGATAGTAAACACATATGACTGCCTAGAGGAGTTGTAAGTTCCCGGTTTTGAATCTCAAAATTTTCCACAGGAAACGAGTTTTTTTTAATCGGGGTCAATTCTTGTGGTGCCAGCTGTACCTCCCTGCCTGACCTATGTCACGAGAAATAATAATGCCGGATCACCGAGGAAAGTGAAGGAACAAAATGGATAACACTTATGAAGAAAGGTTTCTAATAACAGAAGTCATATAACAGAAATATCCTTGCTTCCAGACAAATATAAATTATGATAACACATGACCTTATGACCTTATGATGAGTTTAGGACTTCTTAGTCCACGGTCACGCTGATGCTCCGCCTTCGTCGTCCTCCGTCTCCGAGTCATCGCTAGTCAGGTCACCCCGCCCTCAGGTCCCGGATGTAACGAGTCACGGATGTAACATCCAACCTATGAATTAATGAATGACATCAACCCGAAATTAAATACAATTTTGGGCTACTGATCATTATATTCGCATTTATTTTATTTCTAAAGTAATTAAGATAATACGAGGAAATGACAGGTTATCTCTGACTTGTTGCTGTTGACAGTAAAATTCGGGGTCCCCCCGGTTTTACCCCGCGCCACTACGCGTATTGATACTTGTATCTTTCAACTTTATACTCACAACCCAGGAAATCGCGGAATGGGGGGTAAAATGTTGCTTTTTCGGTCATAACTCGGCAACGCCATGAATTATTAGAAGGCTTGCTGGCCTTACATGACCTACTATTGACAGCATAGTAGTTCTACTCTAATTTGTTCAATACGTAAACACGTAACACCCGTAATCCATAAATGAAAGGATGAATAATTCGTGATAGGAAAACTCAATAATTTTAGAAAATCATATTGTAAATACCAAAATTAAATGTGTTTTCATCCCCCTGGTCTATAATAATAATTGTGTTGCGCCTAAATTTCCATACTACCTGGATCGGGAACGCAGCCGTGCACCACAAATTTTGCACACAAATAAGCCCTGAATCGAACGCCTTGGATCTTTCCGGACATCCACCAATCAGCCGTGAATGGAATCTGCTATCCGTAACCGATCATTGACAATTAATGTTGATTGTTTCTTTGTGTCTGTCTTTGTATCGTTCTACATCTAGATTGATGTACTATGCAAAATTAGGAAATGAATTTACTTCTTTGCGCCCTCTTTGTATTGTTTGAAGGGGAGATGTTACGTGTTTACGTATTGAACAAATTAGAGTAGAACTACTATGCTGTCAATAGTAGGTCATGTAAGGCCAGCAAGCCTTCTAATAATTCAGTTGTATACCAGATTCCACCAAATACAGTTCCCTAAACCTATGGTCTCGTCTCTGCTCATCTTCATCCTTATAGCTAGCCTGGACTTAGACATACGACTAGCAAACGTAACAACGGGTTTGTTGGACCATATCTGGTCAAACATGTATGTTTATTGAACGTAAGTCTTTTGTACGTAAGATGTACGTAAGTCTTTTATTCATATCAATAATTTAAACGAATGCCCCGGACATTGCAAATACATTTCCTTGTATTTATCTCACCAAAATGGAAAATCTATTTACAATGCAGATGAAAACATAACAGGTGATTGAAGGACATTATTGTCATTAAATTCAGAATGAGATACATATACAAAACCCTGTATATCAATTGGACCACTCGGCTTGCAGATAATTTGATAGCTTCTACTCAGAGCGACCATCAAGGCTAGAAGAGAGAACAGCGGCTATTAAGCCACAAATACGACTGTTATATAGCAATTAGGCATTTTTTTTACAAATTTTCAGAGCACTTCATGACAAACATGACAAGGCAAACATGACAAAATCAGAAAAATCAAACGTGACAAAATAAAAATAAATTAATCAGATTTTAGACGGTTGGTAACTTTCTTAAATCTACCCAATCTTAAATTTTCCCTAAACTTTCGCATGAAATACATTATTAATGACTAAAAAAATAAGAACATTTCTATCGTTTACTAGAGATAATTTTGATCTTTCATAATTTATCAGGCGAGGTTCAGTGGATCCGAGGCTAGTTGCCTGCGATGAAGTCACTTATGCGTCGGTTCTTATCCACGCTGATGCACTGGCCCTCGTTGACCCAGGCTGCGACGCTTGTATATGCACGTTCAGGTTCGATGCCTCGCACCAGAATTTCACACAACTGCATGGCGCCAGTGGAGAAATGGTCAAATTTAAAATATAAGGTATGTGAAGGCAATAGATGTAACTGACATAAGTATATTTTTAGGGTAAGCCTATTGAGATTAGAAACAGCATAAATATCCCCATGATTCCAGGAATTAGCACTTCATGCATTGAAAAGCCAATTCATGCTGTCAAATTTCCTCAATAAAGTGGTATGAGCTCAAAACCTACAACTCTTAGCGTAGAATTGGATAAATCAAATGCTGCCCTTGACATATGAGCATAAATTCTTACGGCGATGGACTGAAACATACATAATTATATCGAAGTTAATTACAAATTATTCTAAGTTTCTAATCTGTTCACTACCATTGCTACTTTTTTGAGCAAATATGTAGGTACAGAAATTTCTAACCTTGCAGAATCCGCTATTTTAATTTATTTTTCTCCCAGGTAGCTGCTCACTTCGTAAAACGGCTTCCACCTGCAGCGTCAGACCAAATATATGACAATAAAACATCGTTTCTTAGTGAAAAAAAATTAGACCCTTATAAACACTTCGTAATGAATGAAACACTTCGTGTTTAGCTAGATGAAGGCGTTACTGAACTGAAGGAATGAGTGACTGAACTTGCATTAAAATACAAACTGCATACATATTGTTCAGAAGTATTCATTATGGGCGGTGGTGTTGGAATCAGCAGTAAGTGTATGATGTATCCGAAGTATTCGTTATTGGCGATGGTGTTGGAGTCGGTAGCAAGTGTGGGGTGATATGTACCTGTAGTACTCATTATATAGGCGGTGGTGTTGGAGTCCGTGGCTAGTGTGGGGTGATGTACCTGCATGAAGTATTCGTTATAGGCGTTAAAGGCGGTAGTGTTGGAGTCAGTAGCAAGTGTGGGGTGATGTATCTGAAATATTCGTTATAGGCTGTGGTGTTGGAGTCGGTAGCAAGTGTGAATAGAATAGAAGTATCGGCACTGAAGAAATAGGCCCATGGCCTGTTGCCGATTCTTAAATTTTTCGTGACTTGATTCATAAGGGATCCGGCCTTTGGAACCCGATCTTTCCATAACTGACAATTGCTTGAGATAACTGCTGGACTTAT